CTACTTATATAGTATTATACAATAATACTGTTCCAGCTTACATACAAATTCAACTTAAGGAGAGACCTTGGGAAAGGAACTCTTTCTTAAACTGGTGACTAGCCGTATCTAAGTTTGCTATTAATCTATACATATGAGCAGCTATTCCAATACCTCTTTTCTCTTTCCCATTCTTTTTTTCTTTAGAATAGGAAAACAAAACAAAAGGATTATGAACAAGAACTACCTTCTATTTCGGCTCTGCAGAGTGCTTTGAAAGCGTTGAGCAACAAGACCTCCAAATTCAGTATTTGTACAATACTTTTACACAATATGGGAGTAAACTAAGCCAGCTTCCCCAAGCTTCTGCATTCCATATGTAATAATGGACTAAACTCCATTCCAATGAATATGCCCATTAATTATACTACCTTAGCTTGATTGGAGGAAAGCAGCACTACACTTTTAGTTCTGTTCATATCTCTCTTCAGACCTGTTGCTTCCATTTCTACCTTTATACCTTAGAACATCCTGGTAACATGACTGGAAGAATATCATCCTTTCATCATCCATGTATCTGTAGATACATCCATATCAATCTTTCTTACATACTGCATTTGATGTTTCTGACAGAATCTGGTGTGTTTCCTACACTCCTTTTTTCATCAGTACTCCAAATTTTGTAATAAATGCTAGATTCACACAAATTGCCCTAAATACTAGAAATAAATTAAGTAATTCATACTCCCCACTCCTCCCATGCACCTTAAAAATATAGGCCATCTTGAAGAGGCATCAATGAATAGTCAAGATGAGTTCTTGTTAAACCAGTTAGATGAAACTTGCTACATCTAAAGAGTCATAATTGGATTATGAGTTCCATAAAGAACTCATTAGAGATGAGATTCACTATAATGATCAGGAACCCTGAGCTACACATATTTACTTCTATTGATCAGGAATAGGCAGAGCAGATTTTGCAGGGGGGGAAAACCCCCCACAAAATTACAATATTCTGCTATTCAATATACACCATGCATCTTCCTCGCCCAAATTATGTGAGGTAGAATGCCCCAGATACTTTTGAAGCTTCTTTCCTGTCCTGCTTTAAGTCCCAGCTCTTTAGCATAATATTTCTATTATAGGAAATTTACTATACTAATAAACTATTAGTATGACTACACTAATAAACTATTTTGAATGTGCTGAAGCATACAAAGGAAAATACTTGCATAGCTGCTATAGTAACCTACTGCCCAAAACTTTTATTGATCTATGTATCCTAATACATATTCAGTCAAGTTGCCCTATATCCCAGAATATCAAAAATAGCCTTAAAAGGATCCTAGGCCTGACCAGCCACAAATAAGACACTAGAGTGATTTTAGAAGAAACCTGATGACAGTTGTGTACAGTGGGGCAAAAAAGTATTTAGTCAGCCACCAATTGTGCAAGTTCTCCCACTTAAAAAGATGAGAGAGGCCTGTAATTTTCATCATAGGTATACCTCAACTATGAGAGACAAAAT